GAACTTTCATTTCAATGAACAACAACACTGACAGATGGCATCACCGTGGGGATATTATCCTGTAAAATCAGCTCCTTGCTGGTTGATAACAGAGTGTTAGAGGATTTATAGTTTGGGTGACTTTTGCATCTTTTCACACTAGTGGATGTCCCAGAAAATTCATCCTAAACATGGGACATGTCTAGAAGTCGAAAGTTCCTTCTAAGACGGTTCAATTGTTCATCTTAGATCAGGCTTGTAGGAAACAGTTTAAGCAGAAAGTCTCCTTTCTCCTAGAGAGAAAAGGGGCATCATGGGTTTGGTTTGCAAAGCTTCATCTGAATAAAGAAATATGTAAGAAGCTGAGACCAAAGCTATTACCATGTTTTGAGAAACTCAGACTGTGAAGCACGGTGTTGTGGAGTGATGGTCTGGGCTTGGATTGCCATAATTGGGTGGACTTTGCACTCCTTTGTGAAATAAAGCATTCTAGAGGAAGATGGAGACAGTAAAAGCTTTTTTTTTTTCAAACATATCTTGTGTGGTTTAAAAAATATTTGGTGTGCTGAGGTGTCGGTCATCTAGGTTTCAAAGCCCCTGTTACTGAACTGCGCCACCATGTGGATGGGAGGGACTCTACAGGACTACTGTGTCTTTAACTGTGTGTGAAATATTTTCTTTAGGTTTTTTTTTTCTGATCTGTTTTTAAAACGTGTGTTGTTTTGTTCCTATTTTTATGCATTTCCTTCTTTAAAGCTTTTTGTCGAACCGTCTCTATTCGTTTTGGGCATTCATTTCTCTATTTTTAGCTGGGCCTGTTCAGCAATTGATTCATAATTTCTGAGTTCCATTGCACCAATGGGTTCTGTTTGGTTTAAATCACTATGCAAAAATAACCTATTAAATATTTTGGGTAAATAGCAACACTTTAATGTTGCTTTGATTGTTTATAGGTTTTTACAGCAGAAATAAAGTCTACTCTGTTTGAAATAAAAATCTCCCAATAATATTTAACTTTTAACATTGATTTAAATCCTTTTGCTGCTAGATGATGATGTTTTTTGGTGAAACACTGACCTCTTCTGGTTGAGCAGCTACATTGCAAGAAGTTTCCAGGTTGTTTTGTTTCCAGTTTTCCATAAATCCCCCCATGCATTAGTCATGTGGTACCTGTACGATTTTATTATACTTGTAATCAACGCTGTAAGGAAATGTCGCTGCAATAAATTAGGGATTTTAGGATCAAAGTCTGTTAAATTTCATAATCCAAGTGGGAATAAGGAATAAATTGGATAAATATATAGAAATATGATTTTATTCCTGATATTTGAGCATTTATATGTATCTGTTTAAGAGCGAAAAATGAACTACGGAGGAACGAAGAGACGAACGGAGCCTGAACTTCTCCGTTGTTTTCCTCCTTCAGCCTGTTTGTTGTCCCTGAGCCAACGTGAGAAACTCCAGCAGCTTTGACGGCCCTAATCACGTGATACTGCAGAGAGAGATAACAGCGAAGACGTCTCACTCTGGTGGAACTTTTAAACTCTGATTTCAGGAATTTTCTTCTATCAGTTCTGATATTAACTATTCACTTCATGAAGTAGTTATTAAAAATGAGAAATAAATATATTTATAATAAAACTCAGAAAAATAAAAGAAATTGTAGTTTAGAGAGAAGGGGGATCTTACTTTACATAGTAAAGAGTGAAATAGTATAATAAGATGCAACAACATAAATTAAAACATATTTCTATTTTTGGAAGATGTAATGTGACTGAAAAACTATCATAGTTTTGTTGTTTTGGCCAAAATAAAAATAAAAAAAGATAAATATTAAAATAATCGTTATTATTCTCTAATAATCGTCAGATTTGTGGAGTGAAGGACTTATAGTTGAGCTATGAGGTTTTCCACCTGAGCAGCAGATCTCTATATAGCTCATCCAGAGTTACCATCTGCCCCTCAGCTGCTTTTTCCATTAACTTTGCTCACTATTATATCAACTGGTAGAATCAGTAATGACGTCAGCTGGACTCATAAAAATTGGTGGTTAAGAAATTGTTCCACTGAATTTTATTTTTATTATTATTTCTTTTTTGTTATTAAAAATGCATTAAAGTTAGTTGTTTTATTGCAAGAACCTCTATTAGGCGTGAAAGCAAGGAAATTACCTCAGACAAATATATGTATTTTATTTAACATATTAAAAAAATCTTCACACTACATGTATGCGTGAGCTCCATGATCAACACGGCGTAAGAGCAGCACTGACATTTTTCGGAGTGAGTCATCATGTTGAAAATTGACGATCTTGGTTAAAGCTAGCCGGCTAGCTGTTAACGCAGACTGACGCCATTAGTTTACAGCAAAGAAAGCGTAAGAACCGTGAGAAGCGACCCGGTTCCGATTTTAGACCGGTTCTCCTGTCGGTTTGGACCGCTGCTGTTCGCGGTTTGGGCCGTGTGAGCTGTCAGAGAGCCGCTCTTATGATTTTAGCCTAATTTATAAAGTCGGAAGTCGGTTTAAGGTTCGAACTAAGTTAGCATTGTTAGCAGCTCGACAACAAACGTCTCTTTTTTTTCTGGAAATAAAAAGCAAGCGGAGTATTTTCTAAACTAAAGTGAGAAGATGGCAGCAGCGGGGGCGGCCGGGAGCGGCGGCAGAACCTACTCCTTCAAAGTGGTGCTGCTGGGGGAAGGCTGCGTGGGGAAGACGTCGCTGGTGCTGAGATACTGCGAGAACAAATTCAACGACAAACACATCACAACCCTTCAGGTAAACCGAACCGAACCCACCGAACCGGGCTGCTGGGGAACCCAAGCCACCCTTTGGGGGTTAGCAGGGCCGTGGCAGGAGCCCGGGGCGGGGAGGGGGAGGAGGGGGGCGGTCAGGTGGTGTTTATGTTCATCCAGAACCTGGACTGGTTCTGGTTTCACTTCCACAGGAAACATGTCTGGAAGATTTGAATATCATTTCCATTAATTATTTTCATCTGCACACGTTTGCTGAAAGAAGGCGAAGGCCTCCGACTGGGATTACGGATTAGGAATATTTGATATATTCCATTGGGATTAATATCACCAAAAAACACATTTTTATGTAATTCTGAACTTAAAGTATTTTCTTTTTAAACCTTTATAGGACACTCTGTGAAATACTTTGAAAATTACAAGCCAATA